AAATTAAAAAATATATATGTATATATGTATATGATTCATGCCATAATAAATATAGAAAATATTATTAACAAAATTGATAGCATGATGATTACTGATACTATATATACACGTACATATATATGATTTTGAATGTATATGCGTTGCTTATGTTTAGAATGATGGAGTCCAGCCAAACAGCCGCTAGTGCAGAACATGGATTAACCCAAAATGAACCACACAATGCAATCGAACAAACACCCCAATCTAAAAATCAAATTGAGCCCTTGGAACTGGAAGATAGCGAGGAAGAAGTGGAAACCACCGGTTGTGCAATTTACCAACTGAACCAACCAATAATTTTAGCTGAACCGATTTTTGGCAACCGCAAGAAGGCGGTTGGCTAGCAGTAACTGATTTTTGGTAATTATGTATATGTGTCTGATAGGTGGCACAAGGAATTTGACACAATTTGCCAACCGAATCCAGCCCTACATAAAAGAAAGTACATCCGTTATAATCAATGTAACTACGCACAGTCACACACATCTGTCAAATTACGTTTACACACTCACAGCATAAAATCAAAGAAAACAAGAGACCAATAGATTATGTCCCAAAAATCTGAACCTAAAATTCTTGGCCTCCAGTATGGACAATGTGGCTTAATTGTCCTAATCTATCTATCAATCGTTTTAATTAAAAATTATTTTACAAAATGTTGTTAGGTTGTCTCTCTCACCAATTTTCTAATTTTGGGACTGCGATTTGATTGGTGCAGCCATGATTCCAGTTTCACACGGAGCATTGCCAAGCTTAGAAAATAGAAGCACTTGGACCATCAATCGTGACTAAAATTTCTACAAACATTAACCTCTAATTTTAGACCTGACAATTAGAGGCTATTTTGGGATTAATTTCACCAATAAAACTAATGATGAGATTATGATAGGTTCATGTTCGATTTCTTTCTTTGTAACAAAATAAAAACTACAAATAATTTTTTTTTCTTTTTCTGTATATTGTCATTCTAAAAGAGAGAAAAAAATACAAATGGTGTTTCTGCTCCATTTCACGACTAAAAATCCGCACAAATATAGGACTCGATGTTTACATGATGAACCTTGTTTCAACTATTTATCATCTTAATAATAAAATGATAACTTTTTCTCAATTTTCTGATGGTATGTGTGTATTACTATATTATTAAATTATTATTTATTACCCTTTTGCTTATAATTAACGCTTGAATTGGCATGAACACAATACATATATACTAGTAAACCCAAACATGACCTCACTAAAACAAATATCCTACTTCGAGATCCTAAGTTCGGCTCTCCCCTCCACAAGAAAAGGAGAATGCTTAGAAACTGCGGTAAAGGTTTTCCCATATGGGCAAAAAGCTTAATTTCCTCCTGAAATTAAGCTCCAAACAAAAGTGATTTGCATCATCATACAAAGCCTGTAACAGAAAATTTCTCGTCAAACCGTCATGCCATTGAAAGTTTAAACGATTACAAGAGAAGTCAATTTTGACAACCCTTTTAGCCAACCAATCCTTTGAACTACTTTCTGTCACTCGTAGACGTAAGGAACACTTGGAAACAACTAGGAAACAAAAAAGGGCCACTCATCTATGGCTCGTATCAACGTTGTGTGTGACAAACAGTGATGAATATTTTATAGAACACTACTTGGCTGTGAAAGATCAGCGGCCGCTCCTGCTTAATGTCCAATTATATTTGGACACATATCAAATTTGTGCTTATAACTTTAATTATTTGGACACATGTCCAAATTTGATGGGAATCAGCAAGAGTGACTATTGATATTTCAACAGTCAAGTTGTGTTCTATCTTATAACCAATCTCGGGAATCACCTAATCTGAGTGATCAAACATTTGGACGATACTCAATAAGGAATAGGAAGGTCACGAGATGAGTGTTGTAACTTGTTGGAACATCTTTTCCAAGACTCGAGACATATAAGTTAATCTGCCAATACGGGTTTATAAGATAACAAGAACGGCTGTCAGTAACTCCATTAGCGAAGCGAAATACAACGGAAACATGGATAATGGGCTTTGCACATCCAATGGGCTGACCCAAAGTCAAGGAACCCAACAGTTTTGCCGATACCGTTTTTAAAATTTCTGAACAACGCCAGTTCCCAAAAATTCAATTTCGGACGACCACCAAAATATGGCGCCGCACGATATCCGCCGCGCGTACAAGAGACCGGCGATCTCAGACCAGCAGAGGCGCCGAGAGCTCGCGCTTCAGCGCCAAGAGCAAGCCCGGCGCGACGTCCAGCTCCAGGCCCGCCGCTTAGCCTCCACCCTCCTCTCCCTCCCGCCCGAACATGAACAACCCTCGGAACCCGAACCCGAACCCGAATCCGCATCTGAATCCAAGGAGTCCGAATCCGACGTCGAATTCGACCTTCGCAACGCTTCGAAGCTCAGAGGCACGGAGGCCCGAAAATGGTTCGCCAGGCAGCTCATGCTCCCGGAGTGGATGATCGACGTCCCAAACCGCTTGCCCCACGACTGGTTCGCTTTCCATTTCTCTAAATTTTAATTTTTTTTCCCAATATAATTTCAATTATTTCTTCTAATTTTTGGGTTTTTTTGTGGAAATGTAGGTATGTGTTTGCGAGGCCATCTGGGAAGCGATGCTTCGTCGTTTCGTCCGACGGAGCCACAATCAGCAGGCAACGAAACGGCACTGTTCAGCACCGTTTCCCGTCGGCTCTTCCCAATGGTTCCAGGAGCCGAGACGGGTCGGGTTCCGCTCAGTCGTATTCTATACTGGACTGTATATTTCACGAGGTAAGTATTTCAATTGTGGGTTAAATTTGATTATTTACTTTCTTCAATTGCGCTCCAAATGTTTGATAAAATGCCAAGCTGAATGTACATTGAATGCAGATGGACCAGACGTACTACGTAATTGACATGGTGTGCTGGAGAGGTTACTCTTTGTACGATTGCACGGCCGAGTTTAGGTTTTTCTGGCTGAGTTCTAAGCTCGGGGAGACCGGGGCTTGTGAGGCTCCGTCACACTATCATAGGTATAGGTTCAGCTTTGTTCCTGTGCATAACTGTGATCAGAGCGGGCTATACTCGGCATATGCTGGAGCGGTACCTTATGTAAAGGATGGTCTTTTGTTTTATAACAAGTAAGCTTATTTCCTGATACTACTTAAAATTTGTTGTTATGGATCTGTGAAAATGTCATATATTGTTGCTATGGTTCACTGTTACAGTAGTTTCTCGATTTTTTTAATGCTGTTGAAACTTTCTTTGACATACGATTTATGTAAAATTGTTTTTTCTTTCTAGGCATGCTCATTACCAACCAGGAAATACCCCATTGGCATTAGTCTGGAAGGATGAGAGTTGCAGTCAGTACGTTATTGACACAGATAACAAAGGACAGGTTCCAAGCCATCAACAGGTTTTTTTCATTACGAACCCTTCTTTGCTCTATTTGTTGGTTGGGCTATCTCTACTCTCATTTTCTGGTTCCATGTGATCAGGTAGTTTTGGAGCTGCAAGGTGATGGAAATGTGACTACATCCGATGATCCACCAGTTGTCTTTGGTTGCTTGGAGTCAGACTTCATACAACAGGTATGTTTTACGGTGAATTTTCATTATAGGAACATGGATATCTGCACCTAGTAATTGCGAGTTGAGTCAGGCAAAGTATGGTAGGGCTTTTATGGGAGCGGTTCTGCTTCACTCAAAACAAATATTTTGCTTAGCTTTTCATGGCAGTTTTTTCCGTATCTTGTCTCCTCCCACCCCCACCCCAATAGTTACATTTTCTCCACCAATGCTCAAAACCCATAATACCAAATCGGTCCTTGCACTTGTTGTCCTGAGGAAAATGCGGTTCTATCTCAGGTCACTGGTAAACGACTCTGAAGCCACCAGACTAACTGACAGGCTGGTGTCATTGAGTTCTTTACAACCCTAACATGTAACATTTGTCCTCTCTTTCCTCGTTGTATTCACATCTTTTGCCTTTGTGTTCTAACTTCAATTTATTTTCAGTCAGGGTTGCATTCAGGATGTCTTCTTCGTTTTGCTATTGGTGATGGAGGATTAAGTGTTGTAGATGGGAAGCTTGAGAAGGCAGATTTACATTTCCTTGGCAAGTCCAATCGTGCCCGTGCTTTTGCAGATACTTACTCCAAGGTTCGTAGAAAACTGTAATTCCGCAATGCTGGTGGAAATCACTCTTTCTCGATGTTAAAAACTATCCTGATACATAACTGTTTTAAATCTTTGCCTTTACTGATAATTCCTTTGGAATGTAATCTTGCAGATTATGTTTCAGAATATGGTTCGGCAGTCTCCCCTGAAAATTGACGATTTGGTAGCATCAATCAACTCACCAGATGATGAAGGAAACAGACCTGATGTACCGGAAGTTGATATGGTTGGTTGATGATCAGTCGATACTCTGAAATTACCGGAATACAGAACACACAGCAAATACAATATCCTCATTGGGATCAATGTAGCGTTCATATTCTCGGGTATATTAGTATCTTTCGATGTATTTTTGTGTAATCTTAACACTGCAAGAAAACACTGCAAGAAAGCTGAGCATCCTTGTTGGATGATCGATGTATACTAGTATCTTTCGATGTATTTTTGCAGTAACACTTTTTCTCCTGGAGTATGAAATTATTATTTTCAATTTTCCGGTCTGGATCGCCTGCCTAAATTGCTTTCGTTTCGAAGAGTTTTTTGTTCTTTTGGTTAAATTAACCATAAATAGTAAGGAAAGAAACAAGAAAGTAGAATACAAACATAATTAAGCATGGTAAAATTTCTTAATCTAAGTTAATCTTGAGAATATTAATACCCGAATCGGTAATTACATTCCTCATCTAACATATTTAACTATCAATAAAGAGTTGAGCAAATAATATCATATACTAAATAACATATCTTCCTCATGAAAACCGAAAAAAACTGAAAAAAACCGAAAAAAGAAATTGTTTGTAGGGTTCTAAGTATTCTACGACGCAGCGGTAGTTGCTTCGCAACTGTCATGTACGCAGGCCAATACGTCTGTGTACTCCCTTGATATGGTGAAGGAATCGTAGACTTTGCCGTCGTTGCTTTTCTTGTACTCGAACAGGAGCGACGTGTGATTGAATGCCGTCATCTTGACATATCCGAAGTCGTGGTCTCTGAAAATACTCCAGTTAGGTTGCACTTGGCTGAAATCAGATAAGTGGCTTCCTGCGCCACCGACGACAACATGTATTGTTCCTTTCACAGCGCCGGAGTAATGTGATTGTTCTGAAGTTACGCATTGGCTCTGCAACACCGCGCCCGAGTGACAAGAAAAACGAAGAGATTAAAAGAAACGAAATGGAAGTCATCCACAACTGTTTGATGAGACTGAAACTGAAAGAGTTTGAAACCGAAGGAATTGATACCTGGTAGACGGGGCATGATCTTTCATAGTGATGGACATGGCCGTAAAAGGCAATGTCAACCTTGTACTTCTGCCAAAGTTTCTGCAAGCTTTCCCTTCCCATAGGCTCTTCAAACGAGCCCTCCTGCCCATAATAATAGTTAGAGGAATAGCCAAGCATGCGATGGGCGGCAAAGATCAACCAAGGCTGTTTTTGTCTATCGACAGTTGCAAGGCAATTCTCGATGAACTTGTACTGCTCCGATCCCTCTCTCCAGTCGTGCTCAGTGTCAGCTATGCAGAAGCGAAACATGCCATAGTCGGTTTTGTACCTGTTCATTCATAGAATTCTCATTAGAAGTGCGCGGCACGCAAAAACACTGCTGCAGGCATCCCATACTCCAGAATCAGTATAAGTACTTCAAGTTACAAGAAATGATGCAATTTACCAGAACTTTGCTCGGTTCTCGGCTGGAACATAGAACATAGTCTCAGCCAACACGCCACATTCTCCACCAGAATCCATTTTGTCGTAAAAGGACCCCGAATCAGGCCAATCTCGTTCATGATTACCACTGCAGGAAACAAATTCGAGATCATCAGCCGAGATCATAAATCAATTTTATAAATCTCATTAGAAAATGATGAAAACATGTAATGAACACTTCCACAAACCTGCCAACCATGTATGGCACAGTTGATGCAATCGGTTCCACCTGTGCCGTGAACTGATCCCATTGTGAGATGTACCCATTTGCGTACGTTAGATCTCCAATATGAAAAACAATGTCGATATTCTCCAAATCGCTGATGATTTGATCGGTAGTCTTCAGTGCACCAGGCTGGTAATTACTGTACTCATTTGAACCGTCACGCTCTCCCTGAAAGATGCAGGAGAAAACATGTATCACACACCGAAAACCCCCTAGCAGGATGGTAAAAGCAACCACAAAATGGACGTTCTATGTAACCGGTAAATGGCACGGCTCAAAATTACAACTGAAAGTACCTTGCCCATGTCACCGAACATTATGACACGCTGTAAGGAGTCCTGTCCAGGATATGGAGATGATCTGAATTTGTACTTCTTGCTCCAGATAATTGTCCCATTGGATAAACGATGTCCCAACTTGTAAAACTGCCTGAAACCAATCATCACAACGGTAAGAAGATATCATCCGTAGTTAACAACACTCTTAAAGGCAAAGAGAACAAACAGGGAAGAAATCGTTATATGCATACTCGATGTTTGGCCACAAATCCTTCAGGAAACTTGTGTGTATGAAGCCAGGATCACGCCACCCAACTGTCTTTGCAGGTGCACCTTAACGAACCATCGCAGTTTAACAATTTTATGTTAACATATCTGTCTCCGTAGATCACGCAAATGTGACAAGGTCGTGAATACATAAAAATGAATCATACCACACATCATGCTCCGATCAAATGTCAATGTTCCAGCTCCGGATCGCATTCGAGCTTGCCCCTCTATACCCCATTCAACAAATGGAACAGCTTCATTGATGTCGTAGCCACTTGTCCAAGTTACTGTCATCTGAAAATACATAAATACCTTCATATAAGTTCGCAGCACGCCAAAAGACACATGAACCACAACATAACGCTTCAAATTCTCGGATGTTTATAAAAAAAATTCTCATCAAACAACCAAAGATCCCGATTGAAAAAGAAGTTTAACATAAGAACACACAGAACTGTAAATTAGGATAAACTCACTTCATTCCAAGACTTCCCTTGAGCAAGGCGTGGAAACACAGGTGCTTTTGGATTGGCAAATGTTATGGAGTTTGAAACTGCCACCAGGTTTGGCTGCAACAGTCAAGTATTGGATCAGTCACGTAAAGAAAGACAACGATTCTTTAACGAACAACATTCGACAACCCGCCTGAAAATAATGCAAATGAGAAATCTGCCCGCTGATTTATAAGCTGAAACTTCAAAGAAGATTTGCCAGTCGTTGTATAATTCGGATTGGAGTCTGTTGCATACTTGTACTGAAGCATAGGGATCATATATCACAATGGTTAGGAATGTTCAAACAAAATTGTTTCATCCGCTATTTACTATTACAGAGTTGCAAACTGCAAGCACAAACCTTTATGGGGGCAGTGCATATAAGGAGTTTGTTCTTTTGGTGCATTCACTGGCGGACACATCGAATCACTGCCTTATTAAAACACCGTTACTTCAATCTCCAACAGTTATAAACAAAGATCTTCATACAAATTTTGCAAAGCAGATTCGATCACAGAATAGTGCATAGTAAGTTGAATCAATAGCTAGATTGTTCGTGGTAAAATAGGTTATGTAATCGTTGTCAGACACTTTACTTGAATCTTGCCGGAGAAAAGACTCCAACCCAATCATCTCCAGTAGGAGTCTGGTTCTCAAGATCCACAGTTACCCATTCGGTATCCTCATCCTGCAATCGTAGGAATCAAAAATACATATTATCAACACCTGAACTCCATGGATAAAAAAGACATTCATATGAATTCAAAAACTTGAATTCCATGCAAAAACTCATCTACTCGAAAAGTCACCGTACACCAACCCAACAGTTACACAAAAAATACATTCAAAAGGCAAAACCTAAATACGGATTATTCAACCAATGGGCTACCAAATAAATACATTCAAAAGGCAAAAACTAAATACGGATTATTCAATCAATGGGCTACCAAATAAAAGATGTTACAGTAGCTCCCAACTATTTTGACATGGCGATATTCTTAACTAATATAACCTATGGGGAAGGGGACACGAACTTGGGTGCAAGCCCACATAGCCACTGTAATGAAATTCAAAATTAAATGATCATAGAAGTTATTTCAACTATCCACTTTTACCCCATATTTTTTCACAATGCCAATCTGCTGTTTCTTTATTTCCCATTGACATCTATTTGTGTACAAAAATATTTGAGCAGCAGCTAATAACTTGACACATAAATGTTGGCAGCCATTGAATCAAAACAGTAAAAATAAATTGTTACCTTCAAGCCGAGCACACAAGGGGAAGCTTTGACGGAGGTGGTGGATGAGAGGTTGATGGTGGCTTTCTCAATGGCAATCTTGGAAAGCGGCTGTTCCCCAAAACCATCGCCCTGAGCGGCAGCTCCCGCTAAGTTGGTCAATCCCAGAATCACCACAATCGCAAACAGTTGAAAACTTTGCGCCATTGCTGAGTTGGGTTTTTTGAAAATGATGAAAACAAATTCGAGAAAACCCCTTATTTATATGAATCGAACAGATAACAAACACGCTTTGATTCCATATGTGATTCTGGAAATATCACAAAGTTTCAATCTTTTTCTCTTCTTTTTTACCGTCTTTTTGTAATTGGGAGACAAAATTGGGGTAGGATTTGAATTGTGGGAGGATTTTAGAGAGAGGGCGGGAAGGGGAGGGAAGGGAAGGATACGTCTGTTTGTATATTAGTGCATGTGTTTAAGATATTGGATTCTGATTGGATTCTTTCCACTGCACGTGGGAAAAGAGTTTTACCATTTGAGGTATTCATCAATTCCCCCCCTGAACTTGTGACCATTGGCCAATTTCCCCCCTCAACTCTCATAATTAGTCAATTTGCACCCTACTGTTAATTTTTTTTAATTTTCCATCTATTCTTTTTTTTTTCTTTCAATCTTTCTAATAACTTCCAACAAAGTACTAAAATTAACATAAACTCACCTGCATAATATAGGGTAAAATGTACAAAAACATAATACAATTAGTATGTGATATGGGTTGATTATAAGAAAAAGTTATGAATCGGGTTTAAAGCATGTAGAAGAAGAAATAATAATTCTAAACTCATGGATCAGACATATTTCAATAAAATGGGTTATTCTTAATAAGGAGTCAAAAATTATGAATTGACTAACCATTTTTGCACTAAAGCTCGATTCTCCGCAATTTACTTGAACTTAGCTTTCACTTTTATAAAGAAAATTGTATTCACATACAAAAATGTACACATCAATCCTTTTCGTTATCAATTTTGTATAGTAAAAAATCAAATAAAATTACTCTATACTGATTTATTATGACTAATAATACTATCTATGATAAATTGTAAAATTCTAAATTTTAATCTATTTGTAATAGGATAAAGACATAGGAAAATGATTAACATACATCTTATTTAGTTTCTTACACACACTTGTTTAATTATGATCAAATTAAAAAATTAACAGTAGGGTGCAAATTGACTAATTATGAGAGTTGCGGGGGGAAATTGGCCAAATTAAAGTTGAGGGGGGAAATTGACTAATTATGAGAGTTGAGGGGGGAAATTGGTCAAAATTAAAGTTGAGGGGGGAAATTGGCCAATAGTCACAAGTTCAGGGGGGAAATTGATGAATACCTCTTACCATTTTTAGGTCAAAAGTTTGAGGATGTATATGAAACGGATTCAGAGTCGCGTAACGTTTTTTATTTAATAATATGTTACTTATTTTTTTAGGAAAACTAATGAAAATGGCTTGAAAACTTTGAGTTTTAATGATAAGGACAAAATAAAGGGTAAAGTGAATAGTATCAGGATTGACTTTTTAGTGTAAAAATGTGGTTTTTCATTAAAGTGAACAGTACCAGGTGCTTTTCGTTAAAGTTCCCTAATTTTTTAGTACATTGATATTTTACACTAAGGGGATGTGGAGTTCGGCTAAATGATATAATGGACAGTCTAATTTGGTATCAAATTCGTTATCCACGAGATTCGAACCTAAGACCTTTCAGTTCCAAGTGAAAAGAAATACTACTAGACCGTAGTACTGAGTGACATTTAATAATATATTACAATGTGTAAGTGTTTCTTCACATAGTAATTATTATTAAATTGAAACGCCATACGCAACTGTTATCATCACATAGTGATTATTATTAAATTGAAACGCCAAACGCAATTGTTATCATTTTTAATTATGCTGCTCTCCAAAATTTTAGATGTTTAAGAGCATGAAGAAAAGCGTTTTCATTAGAAATGTTCGTATTAGTGTTGTTTAAAGTGATTTTATAATTTAAAAGTAGTTTTAACTTTGTTTTTTGTCAAATATTATCATAAAGTGTGTTTCACGATGGTTCGTATTGAATAATTACGAATTCCTATTGTTTGTATCAAAAGAATGGTACGGGAATGTTTTTGTATATTTTACTTCTTCAGAACTAAATACATATATAATCCGTAGCTCTCAAGGAAACAAATAAAAACAAGATATATACAAAACCCTTCCTTCCTAATAAAGGATTCCAAGTATTTACCCTATTTACATTCCCTTTTTTTCGTCTAGACTTTGACTCATGTCTACACTTCCCCTCAAGTTGGTGCATATATATCACACATGCCCAACTTGACAAGTGAGTCATCAAACTTGCGACTACATACAGCATGAGTAAGAACATCTGCAAGTTGTTCCTCCGAATTCACAAACGGTATAGACACAATCTTCTTCTCAAGCTTCTCTTTAATGAAATGCCGATCAACCTCCACATGTTTTGTCCTGTCATGCTGCACTGGATTATCAGCTATATCTCTTGCTGACTTGTTATCACAATATAGCTTCATGGTTTCCTTTGACTTAACCCCAAGACTCCAGAGAAGTTTTCGAAGCTAAAGGATTTCACAAATGCCATGGGCCATGCCCCTATACTCGGCTTCAGCTGAAGACCGTGATACCACCTTCTGTTTTTTACTCCGCCGTGTAACCAAGTTCCCTCCTACAAAAGTGAAGTATCCGGAAGTAGATCTTCTATCACTTACATTTCCTACCCAATCAGCATCCGTGAACCCCTAAATTATCAAATGCCCATGCTTCCTGTACAACACTCCCTTTCCTGGTGCAGACTTCAAATATGCTAGGATACGCATAATAGCAGTCATATGATCTACACTCGGTGAATGCATAAACTGACTCACCAAACTTATAGCATATGCAATATCTGGACGTGTATGAGCCAAATAAATTAGTCTCCCTACAAGTCTCTAATATCTCCCTTTATCAATAGGCTTCTGATCTGGATTCAAATGTAGATGATGCTTTTCAACAATAGGAGTGTCTACCGGCTTACACCCCAGCATACCAGTTTCCTTTAATAAATCCAACACATACTTACGTTGCGACAAGAAAATACCTCTTGAAGAGCGAGCAACTTCAACCCCAAGGAAATACTTCAAGTCTCCTAGGTTTTTCATTTCAAACTCGGCTTCCAAATTATTCTGCAACTTCGAAATCTCATCATGGTCATCTCCAGTAATAATCATGTCATCTACATAGATGATTAAGGTTGTCACTTTACCTTTTCTTCGTTTAACAAACAATGTATGATCAGAATGACTCTGATGGTACCCATTCTTCTTCATAACTTGGGTAAACCTGTCAAACCACGCACGAGGCGATTGCTTAAGTCCATAGAGTGACTTATGCAACCGACATACTCCAGTATTTCCATAAGCACTATACCCAGGAGGGAAATCCATATACACTTCTTCCTCCAAATTTCCATGGAGAAAAGCATTTTTCACATCAAACTGTTTTAATGGCCAGTCCATATTTGCAGCTAAAGAAATCAGAACACGTACCGTATTCATCTTGGCAACTGGAGAAAAGGTTTCTTGATAATCTACACCATATGTTTGAGTGTATCCTTTAGCCACCAACCTCGCTTTGTACCTGTCTATCGACCCATCGGCTTTGTATTTGATTGTAAACACCCACCGACATCCAACGGTTTTTTTTTTTCCTTTAGGTAAACACGTCACCTCCCATGTATTGTTCTTTTGTAACGCCAACATCTCCTCATCCATTGCTTGAGTCCACTTTGGATCCTTTAGAGCTTCCTCCACTCGAGTTGGTACTTTAATTGAATCCATATTGTTCACCAAGGTTTGGCGTTCTGGTGCAAGACCACCACATGAGACATAGTTGGCTATTGGATACTTCACCTTTCCTTTCGGAGAGAATCTATCAGGTGGCACACCTCGATTTTGTCTT